CGCACTTTCCCCTCCTTTTCACTCACCTGACTGCTTCACCCCTCTACACACCTACCCTTACTTCCTCACCAGCCCTGCAGATATTCAAGCAGCCATTTTCCATTCACTGCCTGCCAGTTTGTAAACATTCATTGTAGCTTTCATGTTCTCCCAAGTTTCTGATTCCTGTGATCCCATTACCTGGAACCTATACCCGCCTGAACTTTTATACCAATAAAGGACTGGATTACCTAAAGCCAGTTGAGTAGCACTTGAAATGTTTGGCTCTATGAAACCTGATATACTTATATGATTCTGTTTTCTTCAAGGTTGTGTCTTCCTGGTCGCATGTACTTATTGTAAGTCGCTTTGGACAAAAGCGTCAGCTAAATGCAATGTAATGTAACTTCAAACTGTTTTTGGAGTTTGGCCTTCCTGGTTTCGACCGTTTCCTGCCTCATGACTCCTGCATCCTGCATGTCCTGTGTCTAGACCTGAGGTGAGATGTGTCAAATGTTATCTCAGTCGTAACGTAATGGCTCTAAACTACCCTAAACTCATCATCTTCCTGGTTCATCTGTATTCTCTGAATACACAGACAAGTGATTATTAGTGGTCTTCTCATGTCACCCTAGAAAAAACATATTTTTGTATCTATTACACCATGTCATCAAAGCTGCCTTTCCCTCACTCTTTATGCTCCTGAACGAAACAGCGTGATGTGTGTTTCTGTCTCCGCCTCAGGTCTAATATGTGTATCTTATTGTTGTTTTCCTGAGGAATCATTGTAAAGCGAGGAGAATTAGTGCATCGTGAGGTGGGGTTGTGTAATGTAACAGCTGTGGCTGATGGACTCACCTTATTTTTCTGTGAGTCTAGTCAGCCCTTTATCTCTGCTGCACTTCTGCTTGTTTTTAGTGTTTACTTGATAACAGCTTTCAAATGGGATGTCAGCACATGTAGAGAGGAAAACAGCAGCAACACAAAAGATAGCACTGAAGAGGGTTTCTGGATCAAGTCTAGACATCTGTTCTTACCAACATGCTCATATCTCCCTCTGTTTGTCTCTGTTGTTTTTCACTCTTGTCTCATCTCTCTTCCTTTTTCCTCATCTTCTCCAGCCGGCACCATCTCTCCCGCTCTCTCCCCCCTCCCCATCTCCCCCTGTGCCCCAACAAGTCTTATATTTCCAATGATGATTTAGCTCATACATCTTGATAAAGCCACTGGCTGTTCCTGTTCTCTGGAACAGGAAACTCTAGCAGGAGCAGGAGGAGACAGAAGATGACCTCGTTCACGGGGTTGTCCTGTTTTTCTGTGCTTTCCATTTTGATGGTGTCCTCTGGGAGAGAGCATGCTTGTGTATTGAGAGCGTCTTTTTCAGACGAATTCACTCGAGGGGTCTGCAGAGGTGTTGTTTGTAATCATTGTTTGTTCAGCCACCTTTACACTGTGGTCTGTTTCTAATCACTTCTGTGGAGTTTTTAGTTTTCCATTACTTCTTATACTTTTCTAGCCACCTCATGCATTTACGTTTGTAGCAGAGGAACAGAAATGAAACAGAAATCCAACCTGTTCCCTCAAAATGATGTTTGTATACTGTTCTTCAAAAATGCTAATATTATTCACAGATACTAATCTAGTTCACAGTACTCATTAAGTAAACATTGCCTTCTCACATTCTCAAAATGGCTTCAGACGAATCAATTGTTAACTAATGTTACAAAACAGATGTATATGATATTTGCTGGGAAATAAATTATAACTCACAACCAGTAAAAGTGTTTGTTGAGAAAGACATTACTAAAGTTACATTAACAGGATTTAATGGATCTTAATTGATGAGAAACTCAATTTGAAAGATAATAAATATCAGCCACAACTGCATATTGTTTTCAGCTTGTGAATCTGTGTGTGTGTCGCAGAATATGCTCCTACAGACTGCTCCTGTTGCAAGGAGGAGATGTTTTTCTTGAGTATTCTTCCAGGTCTGTTTCATCACTCACATCAGCGTCTGTTTTCTTAGCAAAATCCAAAGCTGTGTTATCTCTGCTAGAGAAGACAGGATCCCCATTTATTATTTCAAATATGTATGTTCAATTGGACAAATCAACAACCTTAACCTTCAAATGTATCATACATCCCGGGGACAGTACTGTGAAGTACCATGTCCAAATATGGAGTCAACAGATAATGTTCATTAGAAATGTTTCATCATGATGTTGACAAAAATGTAAATTTGTGGCTGAAATTTGTACTTTAACTAGAAAACAATCAAGATATTTTTTCTTTTGAATATTAAACACAACAAATAGTATTCAGACGGAACAAAGCCTCATGTGAAACACAATCATTACGCTTCACATTTCTAATTGTAGCATGGAGGAACTACAAATCTCCTGCTCACAAACAGATGCACACCTTGGCAGGGGACACACACACTTCTCCTGTGTGTATGATGTCACCACGCAGGTGCAGCGGTGAGGGATGAACTTCTAATGACGGCCTGTCATTCCTTTAAACATCTCTAATTGGTCCCCGTCATTATGAGGCAGCCTGAGCTCGCCCTGGCTTTGTCTCCGCTGAACATTGTTCTTTTGTGTGTTTTCTCTAAGACTATGTTTTTGTTTTAATGACACATTGTCTCCGAGCAACTGTTTGCTCTTCCCTGCTGCTTTTTAGATCTTCTAGGATGAGGCTCCTGCTAATAGTATAGTATTAAGGCAGAGGATGCATTACTGAGGCTTTGATGTACAACATGCTTTACACAGACACTAAGCCCCGGTTTGGCAGCCATTATTCAAAGCTGAAATAAGTGCCAACGGTGTTTTTTGTAGGGTTTCAGTCACTTGGGTCAGGTGACATATCAGCTTTTCAGATGTTTCACCAATAATTTAAGCGGCTTTTTCAGGCTTTAAACTCCATCTTAATTATTTGTAGGTAACATTTTCAGATAGCGAGAGCTTTTCTTTCTTTCACTTTTACATTTCCGTAACAAAAGCATATCCTTAATTTCACTCCCCGTCTTTTTTTCCATAAAAAGGTCATGCAATGGTGTGTTTTATTCTAATGATTAATTTGTCCATACAGTGTTTATCATGGACTACTTGGAATACTATGGCTGCCACTGGTTGCAGTTTAATAAGTGCTTTAAGTAATTAGTGTGACTTAAAGGCCAACAAAACATGAATTGTATTTTACTTTCTTTGTATGTTACACTCAATCAGAACTTAACATGTGTTGTGTTCAACAAAATACTCCCTATCTGCTTCTTCAAAATAAACTCATCCATGTTTTTCTTCAAATGTCATACCATCATTTTCAACATGGCAGCCTCACTCACTGGGTGTTTCTCAATGTCGAGGAAGGCTGCTCCAGAGCCACTATTTCAAGCATACTACGTCATCGAGTGCCGCCGAAGGACTGTTCCAATGTCCAGCATACTTGGAATTCTACCGAGCCCAGCGTACTTCGTAGCGAGACATTTTGAGGCCTTTTCAATATGCAACTTATACAAGTCTATTATGAAAACCTTTTTATTAATGTATTTGACAGGGACAATACATGTAGGCATTGTTATATTTGAAGGATGTGCAAAGGAGGCAGAGTATACAGGACTTCTAGCTGTTCTGCAGACTGTGTCCCTGGTTAGGCTGTTAAGACATTATGTGTTCTGCATATTTTAAAATAATAATTGTTTAGCATATTTATAGATTCAGAATGTTGATGAGGGAGAAGATGGATAATTATTTTATAAAAAGCTCCAACTTTTCAGTAAAACAGAACATTTCTATATTCTTAAAAACGTGTCTTTAAGGATCTGTGGGTCAAGCCGTAACACAGAGAAGCTCTGGCCTCTGAATCCCAAACCTCAGCTTTTACAGGCTGCCAAAACAATCTGCCAAAAAGCTAATTAGTATTACTTAATACTATCTTAAAACTAATTTGCTTTAAGTAATTAAAATTGCCAAAGGGAAATGCTTGTTGAGTTCCCTGAGCTCGCCTACAGTACCTTTTTTTTCTTTTCTCAATGAAGCGTTTTAGACCTTACTTATTGAGGTTAAACATTTATTAATTGAGGGTGTAGTAATACCATCTTCAGGCAGAACGCAGGGGAGGTGTTGTGACAAAGATGTTTATCTGGATTAAAACTCTGGACATTTTAGTTACACGTTGTTCTTTTTGTGCCACTTCTTTTAGGTTTGTCGACACAGTAGATACACTTTTACAACCTCTCTCATCCTTACTACTGTGTGTCTGTGTCCGTGTGTGTGAGACGGTTGATTAAAAGTGTTATTTATGAGGTTGAAGTGCTGAGTACAGGGATTCTCCACTGTACAACACGGAGAGCACTACTACCACTCACTTTCTGACCACACACACACACACACACACACACCACACACACACACACACACACACCACACACACACACACACACACACACACACACACACACACACACACACACACACACACACACACACACACACACACACACACACACACACACACACACACACACACACACACAGTATGCTGAGTCGAGGTACTTTCTCACCCACTAAATCCACACACACTTACATACACCCACTCTCTCTCTCTAACTCAAAGGTGAATTTTGTGCCGGCTTGTGCATTTCTCATTTCCTTTCCAATGCTGTTTTTATTAAAAGATAAATTGTAGACAGAGCTCAGTGGAACATAATAATTCAACTGTTGCTTAATTGCATCAGGGATTTAGTCATACTCTCTTGTCCAATTTGCTCTTACAATTCCCTGCAAAAGCCCTCAGCCTGCTGCTAATCTGCAAACCAAGCAAGTGCTGTTTTTCTTTCTTGAAAGACACCGGGTTGGGAATAATAGAATGGGGAGATGCGACATCACTCAAACTCTCCAACTCAATTCAATTTAGCATTTTATTTTTCTGTTTCACTCTCACCTCACAGTGTGTGTGTCTCTCTCCCTTTCAAATAGACAAACACAAACATACAACTCTTCAGTATATTCACTAGCAGGACATTTTATGTGACATAACATTTTTTATTAATTATTGTATCACGAGACAGACTGGTCCACGTTCAGAGAAAAATCATATCATTACCATCATGACTCACTGTGATCATTTCCACTACGCAACTGTATGACTGTACAAGCTCCACCGGTGGGTGTTTCTCTGTGTGTGAGTGTGTGTGACATCTAAATGTTTGCCTCATAAACATCAACAACCTGCTTGCAAAGACAGACATTAGCTGCATCAATCAGAATATCTATAGCTTTGAATTACCTTGTTTGTTTTGCAATACAGATGGAGCATTGAGGAACATTCTTCAGTATAGACGTAACATTTCAACATCTCTTCCATATAGAAACATTACAGTGTTTTACCGTCTGTTGTATTTTAACTTCTTACAATCCAAACATCCACAAAACATTCAAAACCCTCCTTTTTCTTCTACCTGCGGCGAAACCCTCTAAACACAGAGACAAATAGCACAGATCCAGAAATTGTGAAATCACAGTTGAATTTTTCTTTTTTTGCAGCAGTTAAGCAGTTTTTGTGGTATTACATTCTTCAGGGCGTAGTGTCTCCAGAAGCATCCGAGCACAAAGGTAATCTAAAAGATGACCTTTCCGATATTTCAGCTCTATTACTGTACTGTAGCTCAGACTGTGATGTGAGGGTGGGGACGGAGAAAGGGGATTAAATGTGATACGGATCATAACACTCTCAAAGTTGTGATGTGTATCTGTATGAGAAATCTGTGAGCTGAGTCACAGTTTAGCCCAAACTCAGCACGATACTTATGTTGTAGTGAGGCGAAAGTAAACATTAATATTGCTGATATACTTCTGTGAAACCCAGGCTTTAGTGAGCTGTGTAGAGAAGAAGGCAGAATTTTAAGTCATAAATAAAGCAATTGAGCGCTTCCATAAATCTTAGCTGCCATAATGCCAACCTCAGTCCTATTCGACCGGGTAGAGTCATTTATCATGAATTGGTGAACAGCGACAACAAATCAATTCTTGATTCCTCCCTTGAATCTCATTGCATTTGAACTAGGATCTGGCTGGAGTCTGAGCCAGGCCCTCGGACCCCTCCTGACTCACCCCGCCAACAATCACTCACAGACAGTCACACACAACCGTGAGAAAGAGCAAACAATCTTCATTCCGGGGGAGGTTGGATGTCATTTTGTTTATTTTTGAGTCCCACGTATCTCTCTGCCCTCCACTTCTAAGACATAAAAACAATACAATCTAAATACTGACACAGTCTTGGACACAGTAGTGAGCGACGCTTAATTCTTTTAGCAGCTTATTCACATTTGTACATGTATTTTTTGTTCATTCCTCTCACTGTTATTTCATATTACAAAAACAAAGAAAAAGTAGCACTTCTAGAGACCGAAGTTTAAGACTATCACGTACAGTGGGCTATAGGCAGCATAGAGGACGGGAGTCTATTACAGTAGGTCACTTGAAGAAGAGCCAGAGAGAGAAGTCTGTGATTGTCAGTCCCTCCTTTTCTGAGGTGTCCTTTCATACAGCAGTTGTTGTTTCTCTTCCTTTTTTTAATTCTGTCTCAATTTGACCAATTACTTTGATCAGAGGCACCATCTTCAGCCAGAGTTACATTTGTGCTGACTAGTCTGTATGGTAACAAACCTTCCTCTCACGCAGCCTCTTTCTATAACTGTCAAAAATATCACCACTGTCCAACTTGACACAGTTCATTATTAAAAAAAGAAAGGAAACCCAGCAGGTCGGTACACACACAGTGCAGCCAGCTGAGATGTTGCTTCCACGTCTTGTCTCTCTTGACATCGGAGGCATTGTTTGTTTCTCACACACCCTGCCTTCTGTTATTGCGCAGAGAAACTGTGTGTGTTTTTTTTTAGTGTGCTCGCTCAGTGCAAACTCCACTACGACTTTACAGCAGGGATGGATTTTGAGGACCTTGTTAGCTGACCTTGTCAACACTGCCCCTGGCACTCATGCTCCGACAGGTGACAATAATTTTGCAATGTGTCAAACTAAATCTACAAAAGTGGCAGACTGGGGGAATATCCATCCCTGCTGTAGTGTACGGTATACACGAGGACACAGATGTTTAGAGCCCGACATAAAAATACATAAACAATCAAGATTATCTTACACATTAGCTAAAACATAATTAATTAAACCAGTTCAGTTGGTTGTTGCAAAAGGCAACATTAGATATAGAAAGAAATGTACAAAATGCTTCTTAATTTATAAATAATACTATAAATCAATCAACAAGTTCACAAACATCAATACCATCAAGTGCTGTTGTTAATAAACAAATAAGACTTATAATTCCCGATTGATGTTTTACAGCAAATCCCAAAAGCTTTCAGTGAAACCGCAGTGATCATGACTTCTAAATATGTCCGCAAAGAGTCAAATATGCCAGTAAAATGCAAAAAGAAACAATAAATGTGTTTCCTTGCATGTATGTGGTTGCATGTTGTATACTGTACAGAATTACGAGTAAGCTCACTACTATTAGCAGGAGAACCACTTCACTCGCTTACAGTACTGTAAGCGAGTGAAGTGGTTCTCCATAATCGGGATGTGCGGTGCATTATTGAGTTCATTTTCACTGTAAGCTGTTGGTGGGCTGTGTGGTTGTGGCCAGCCCAATGTGATGGGAGCGTTGTGGCTTTACGAACATCTGCAGGCCACAGTAATGATGGATGATCACTTTCACTTTCTCCCTGAGGACATTCACACCTCCTCTCACTCCACTATCTTCTCTTCCTCCTTGATCTTTCTCATCATGACCCATTCATACCTTTTCCCTCCCATTGCCTTCTCCTTTCTACTCCATTGCTTCCGCTCTGAACTCTCTCCAATTCTTTCCCAGTATGCATTATTACCTCTCCTCCTCTTATTTCCCATCTCCACTCCTCCCCTCTTTCTCTTCCTTCCCTGTTTTCTTCTCTTTCACCTCTCCATCCCTTATTCTCAGCCATAAAACAATAAGTCTTGAATGTCTGTGAGGAGACTGTGCTAATGGAGCCCATTAGGCTGTAATGAAATATACATTACACCATTACAGTGGACGGGGCCTGGCTAAAGCACTGCACCGCTCAAATAATAAAACATGCACAATTCAATTTCCTTCTCGTCCCGTTTTGAGTGTCTTTCACTGTGTGTGTGTGTGTGTGTGTGTGTGTGTGTGTGTGTGTGTGTGTGTGTGTGTGTGTGTGTGTGTGTGTGTGTGTGTGTGTGTAGATGGAGGGATGATGGGATAAGGTATTGTGTGTGTGTGTGTGTGCCTCCCCTCTTGCACATATGTGGTTTTCAAGGATGTCTGAGTGCTGAGAGCCTTGATGATTTAATATGGGTTGACCAAATGAACCACACCTTCTACAGCGCCGCCGCCCACACTTCTGACCGAGATCTGCCCCCTCACAACCCGGCCTCCCTTAGCGCCCCCCACCCCCCCAACACCAAGACCTCACGATTATCGGGCAGCTGCGGACAAATGAATCAATTGACCTTCGACACGGGTGCTTGAAGCATCTGTCACTTTAGGGGAAAGGAAAAGGAGTTATCATGTTACCCTGTGCTGTGTTACAGTCCAATATGTAACAGAAAACAGTATGCAGAGATGAGTGCATATATCCTTATTATAATAAGACTGTTGCATGAGGTGGGTATTATAGATCAGTAGATTTTTTACATTTCACAATTACAACATAGTGGAACAGCACTGCCTTTTACACAACAGCAGTTTAGTTTAGCTTCAGTAGGCACTGTATTCCTAAATTATTATTTTTCTTCAGTGAAATTGTACAACCAGATATTCTCTTTTTTCATGTCATCGGGTAATTTTATCTGACAGGCAGAAAACCAGCTACTTTTCCGACTCATTTGTATATGTTACATTTAAATCTGCTGTACGTGTAGCACTGTGCTAATCATCAGCTGTGCAGTCATCTCCTCCGGCCATGTTGGATGAATGCTGACATTAATACTCATGAACAGTTCTGAGGGATAGACAGACGGGGTGAGAGGGGAAAACACAGTGTCTTCATGGCTCCACATCGCAAAGAGCCATTTCCTCCATCGTACAGTTTCATATTTACAAGAAATAGGATCGAAGCTTCCAGAAATCCCTCGTTGAATTTCCAGATGAACACACGAGTCCCGTTGTCCGACAGACAGCAAGGGAAGAGTCACAACATTTTAAATTCCTGTTAATCATCAGGTTTTCATCAATTTAGCCCCAGTCAGTTTAAAGCATTTGAAAAGAAGTATAAGAAGCTTTTTTTTCGTCCAAAGTTAAATTACTCTTAGCAAATGTCTCTCCGGAAAGGAAGATGGGAGGAAGAGATGCGAAAAGGAGAGGAAATTGGCAGGGAGGAAAGACGCGGTTCGGGATGAGTTAAGGAATTTTTTTGATTGCCTTTTTAAAGAGTTTGATAATAGCTTCACATCCTGTACAGCGGTACGTCACACGCGCAGTTGCACGAGCATCTTACACTTCATTTTATTCACAGGTTCGTCTGTGTCCACCCTAGCACGCACACACACACACACACACACACACACACACACACACACACACCACACACACACACACACACACACACACACACACACACACACACACACACACACACACACACACACACACACACACACACACACACACACACACACACACACACACACACACACACACACACATCCTCTCTCCTCCTGGGTTCAGCCAAGTATATCCAGGTATACAGGAGAAGCTTTGGCCAGATTGAGGAGCAGACAGTGGATTTCTTTGATGTTGAGTCTCATGTGCGGCTCTCTCTGCCAGCAGCCCAGCATCAGGTCGTACACTTCCTTCAGACAGGTCCTGGGGCGCTGCAGCACCCTGCCTTGGGTTATACACTCGATCACCTGCAGAGGAGCAGAGAAACACAGACATCAACTTTAACCTCGGTGGAATTCTTCTATTACAAAACAAGAAATGCATCAAATCAAATCCAATTAAATCAAGTTTTATTTATAGAGCACATTTAAAAATGATTTTTGGTCGAGCCAAAGTGCTGTACATGTAATAAAAACACTTTATTACAATAACAAGAAAAGACAATAATTTACAACAGAAATATAAAAAACAAAACACAGGGAAATGTCAGGTGTCGTAATCAGCTCTGACTAGAAGGCCGGAGAGAAGAAGTGTGTCTTCAGTGAGGATTTAAAAACAGGAACATCCTCAAAGATCTAAGCTGAGAGTGGTTACTCTTTGCACGTTGAAGATGATGGAGCATCAGCTTGGTGAGGTTGTTCCACCTCACTGCAGTGGCATACAGTGAAAATGTCACTGTGAATAAATTGACTGCAGTGACGAAGTTAGGCAACACTAGAGCAGTAAACCACACAAATCAAATCCAATTTCTCCACAGAAGAGTCAGGGAAAATGGTCTGTTTTAACACACTCCAAGACATGTGTATTATTTGAAACATCTACAGATTTAAGTTTTAACTCTACTGCAGGATGAGGATTTGTAGATCCTGGAGTGGAGATACTATATAGGGGAGAGCTCTGGTACAAAGAGTGTGTACATATCATTCTGTGGTTAGTAAAATATCTATACTGTACTATAATTAAGCGTTTAATCATTGCCTCAAACCTTAAATAAACTTTGTTGCGTGTGTGGAATGAATACCAATTTATGGATATTACTGCAAGCTCAAAAAAACCATCTTATTATCTTAAATAATTGTAATACCTGGAGATTATCATATAAGATCTCTACATTATTAAGAATTCAGATTGGTATCCTAATTTCCCAAATCCTACATTTTGTGATTGTTATCAGCTAGTGAGAGAAAATCCATAATTAATATCTCATTTTGAAAAAAAATCTATATCCTACTTAAGATATCTGATCAGATTTGGGTCAGGAGGTGAGTGAACTGCAATTTGAGGGAGATGTAATAGATGTTAACGGGAAAAGAAGAGACCGTGAAAGGGGGCTTAAGGTTAATTGTGCATGTAACCAGAGTGAATCAGGAGAAAAGAAGATGCTGACATGGTCAAAAAGCTGTAACCAGAGTTGAGGAGACCACAGGGTCGAGGTGAAGGGTTGAAGGGCTTCTACACAGCTTTGTTTCCGGAAACCGGGTTGAGACCCTGAGCATTTTAAAGGGCTGATTTGTAACAGTTATAAATAATTCAGATTAAAACAGCCCATTGAATACTTCTCTATTTATTAAAATGTTAACTTGTTAAATGTTTGCTATTCCAATCAAAATGACTCTTCTTCCTGTACACATTTTCCAAGGACATTTTTAGTTATTTGTTTATTAGACAGCCTAACCCTTTTAATATTAACTTTTTTTATAGTTGTGAAACTAGGTAAAAATAATCACTGTCTGGTAGTATCTATGAGCTTGTTCCAGCTCTTATATGATGTTTAAAGCAAGTGAACTATTCCATCTTCTATGAATCCATGTATGGTCGCCACACTCACACTACAATTAAAATACTCTAGATATAGTAGGAAATGTACACTTCTTACTATTTTAGTTTGTACATTTACAAAAGAAAAGCCTGAGCGATATGCAGTACAAGGCATGTACATAATTGACTAAAATTACACAATTATGAAAGGGTTTGAATCCTGAACCATTAGAAAAGGGTATTTTCTTTTATCAGTGTGAAATCTGTGGATCCATGACAACAAATATTATACATTTTGCAATCCCTTTAGAAAAAAGGGTTGGAAAAAAGTATCCTCAAACTGAAGACACACCTGCCATACACCAACCGAACAACAAAAGCACCTTTACTCTCACTACACTGTGAGCCAAGGAAAGTTTTTAGTGCAGTAGCTTGCTCCAGCCCGCCAGCTTTGTGTTGTTCCTCACAATGTATTCAAGACACAATGAAATGATTTGCTTCAGCTTTATATAATGAGATGGGTAAGGCCAAAAGATTCACTACGGTGTGAGGAACTTGAACACAAAACTGATCAAATATTTAGACTTGTTTTTAACTCAAGGTCTGTTTCCTCATAGCTAGGGGCAGCAACATCTTGTTCACCATCACTTATTAAGGTGAAGGGGTCTCTGAGATAACATTTACGTAAAGTTATGTTGCTTGGTACTTTGATTCAGATAACACATTACACCACTGTGACGTAAAATAACATGTACCTCATTATTGGAGAGCTGGTACCAGGGCTGTTTTCCATACGTGAAGATCTCCCAGAGAACCACTCCCAAACTCCACACATCACTCTCCGTGGTGAACTTTCTGTACATGATGCTTTCAGGGGGCATCCAACGAATCGGCAGCATGGTGTGACCTCCGACCTTTGAACACAACAAATGCGCACGCACACGCACGCACACACACACACACACACACACACACACAAACAGAGAAAGAGAGAATAAAGTCAGTACAGAATGCAGCAAACTAAGAAACATTTAAGATTTGGCAAGCTTTTTTCTATTCACTTTTTTATTATTTTCTCAACTATTCTGCTACATCATGCATTTTGAATGCATGGCCACACAGCTTTTTCATATTTCTCACAGGGTTCACTTAGGAATTTCAATACATTTTAAAGTAGCACTGCAAACATTTCACTCTTCACAACTGCACCCTGAGGCAGAGAGCGAGGTTTGATGGTATGGCCCAGCAGATTGCATCATCTCCGTGACTGCAGCACACCTCCTTCCTGATCGGTTCCCCCAGACAAAGAGTTTATTCTCCTTTTAGCTGACCAGAAACACACTAATCATCAACTGATTAACAAAAGGTGGTTAAAGTGGTTAGATAGTCAATTGCTTGCTATACAATGCGTAAGCCAGTTGGGGACAGGCAGACATTCTTTGCAATCGCAATAATGAGTAAGACATGAGTGAGTCTGTGAGTTTCAGCAATTGTCATAAGCATAAATCTAACAGCTAGAGACATTTGTTAATGTCATTCAACTCTAATCTGAACTGAGGCTTTGCCACTGTTTGAACTTTTAACCCTAACCTGCCCAAAGTTAAAGTGCATAAAACCTGACCCTGGGTCCTCCATATATTGTGCCTCACTTCTCCTCCGAACATGAATCTGCAGACCCATCTGCACTCCATTGCTCCACACAGATAGCCCATCCATTATTCTGAGGTTTATGCCTGTTATTAATGGCCTGGTACCCACACTTGGCCTGTTTCTTTGTTAGTCAGTGGGTTATTTAATGGAGTGATAAAATGTGCACGGTCACATAGATGGCCATCAGGTTCACTGGTACGTCTGGGAAAACATATCTGCCTCCATCTCTGCAGCTCTTACTCTCCATCACCCGGTGCTCGCTTCTCTCCCTGTACTGCCGTGTCTTGCTGCTGCTTTTTTCTGTTTCTTATTTGCATTTCACTTTCTGTCTCTCCATTGTGCTTTATTGCCAGGGCATAATGAAGCACAGCGTTGCCAAACCAGTACAGGGATTACGATGTAAGAATAATGACACAGACTACAATAAAAATACAAACGACTTTACAATATTCTAAATTTACTTTAGCAAACTATACAACACTGTTTATAATACAACATGCACATTTTCCTCTTCCTAGAATACCCTTAGTCAGATTTATGATATGACTAAGTTCTCGAATACAAATATAATATCTGTCTAACTCACATTTTTCTGTTCCCAAAATGTTGTCGTTATTTTACTAGCTTTGATTGTCTTACTTAATTGTGCAACCTGATTTTGTAATTCACTTGTTTGAAAGTACCAATAGCTGTAACTGAGATTTAATTATCATTTTGCTTTATCACTGACAGGTGTAGTTTAAATGTGCGACAGTTATAACCTTTTACTCACACTTCTTTTTGTTTTATGTTGGGAGTTTTTGAGGGCGCCGTAAAGACCATTTATTAAAACTCTGATTTCACATAAAATGACAAACATTAAATGTAGTGCACTAAATATGTCGCACACAGTGATTGTTTATTCTACTTGATAGATTTCTGACATTATTTATTAACTAATGTATGTATGTAATGTGTCTGAACCTTCTCACATACATTTGTCTTTTTGTTTTATTCATCGTGGCTGATCATTTTCCCTGATGCTTTGAAATATTAATACTGGGCTCTTGAACCGCAGGAGTATATTTCCTTTGTGTTTCTGAACTGTGTGTGTTTGTGTGTATTTGTGTGGGGCAGTCTTTAAACTCTAACGAGACTGGATTGAAAGAGAAAACAGAGGTATAAAAACAATGCAGAAGCAGGAAAGGGAAAGCCTCACATTTCTTCTCATTGCGATTAAATATGAAGAAAATCCCTTTCATAGACTATCACTGAAATATAGACGGAGCATCGCTCTGTCATCAGCTCTTTCATTTCCTCTCAGCTGTTAGTAGCTTTGTCGTCAGTCTTTGTTTCCTTTCCTCTCTCCCTCGTTCTCACCTTCCTCTCCGTCTCTAAGCCCGCCTGTCTGTCTCTCTCCCGCTCTGTCTTATAAATATGCATCAATCCAGCTTTAGACCTGCCTGAGTGTTCCAGGAAAGCCTCAAAAAAAGAGGATAAATAAAGCAGAGGAGGGCTGCAGGCACTCTGTAGTGACCTCCTGGAGGCTGTGGTATCCATGGCAACTGGGCCAGTTAAAAAAGAAAGCATTATGGGATGTAGTGTGGGAGGAGCTTACTAACTCCGCCCACCCGTTGTTACACAGGAACCTACCTTAATTGCCCTCCGTGTTGCTATGGAAACAAAAACTCTTTCCAAGAACTCGTGTGTATGTGTATGTGTGTGTGTGTGTATGTGTGTGTTTCATTTGAGTTTTCTGGAAAAAGAGCTTGTTCCGCTGGAAACGGAAACGGTAAATTGGTTGACATATTGTATTGCACAACTAATCTAGTTTCAATGGCCAAGATCAAAAGTGATTCTAGTCTAGTCTTAAAAAGCACATTAATGACAGACAAACCACAACGCTGACAAATGTGCAAAAAAGGGGATGACATCATTACAGGCGATCTATAATTACAGATGAATCTAGGTTTTGGAATAGGATATTGTAACGTTTTAGATCCATATAACAACTTTAATTGTCAAATAAAAAGAATAACTTGCTCAAAAATGTTGTTTTTAACAATTGTATGGCAACAAAATGTTAATTTTGTAAACATTGATTTTATGAGGCTTATAGGGCTACCAAATAAGCTGGTTGTGTATCACTGTTGCTACATTTGAACCATCTTTTATGCTTTAATGCAAGTGAAAGCAGGTCATATATGGGATTTTTAAATTATTATAGATAAATGGTCCATAATAATGATGATAATAATAACAATTATAGAGAAAATTACATCAAAAATGAAAATAACATTCACGACAAAGAGACATTAACTTCTCCACTGCTTCCAGGTGCTCCATTAAGATGCTGTTTGTAGTGCATGGGGCCCAGACAGGTTGGAAAGAAATGCACACCATCTAAATGACTCTGCAGAGATTGTTTAGCTCTGCTTTGTTGCCAGTGTTTTTCTACAGTGTGTATCAGCAGCGTAAAACAGTCAAACTGAACATTAAACCCAGGGAGCCATTGCATTTTCTTTCATCCTACACATTTGGGCATGAAATCAGTTTAGGGGAGGAAAGGAATAAATCCCTCCTAAACCCCTAAACCCAACACACACACACACACACACACACACACACACACACACACACACACACACACACACACACGCCTCAAATTCCTCTATGACTCATCTTTGCTCCTCGTTCTGACGCAAGAGCATGACTGGTTCTCTGAACTAACACACACGCACACATGCACGCACACGCACACGCACACACACACACACACACACACACACACACACACACACACACACACACACACACACACACACACACACACACACACACACACACACACAGTTTTATCAGTGTGTTTCACCTCCCACTATGCTGTAACTCTCTACTGCTCTACTGTTTCCTCCATGTCTGTACCGTTCTGTCCTTTTTTTGACATTTCCTGTTGTTTTTCTGTGTCTGTTATCCTGCTCTGCTGTATTGTGTTGTTATTGACTATCCTGTGCGCTTCCTCACCCGCAGACCTCTCCTCTCCCTCCTCAGCATGTGTGTAGCTTTATACTGTAGCTCTATTACCGCCTTTTCTCCTTCTTGTGTATATATTGGTCTTTTGTTTTCTCCCTGCCTGGCCTCTCACCCTCTTCCCTCCATCCCTCCTTATTTTCCAGCTCTTTCTTTTCTTTCATCTCTCCGACTCCCTCCCTCCTGCCTCCGTCTCCCACACTTCCATCCCTCCCTTTCTCCCCCTTCTCTCTCTAGTACTGCCTCAGCATACTAAACACAAGTTCTCTGATTACTTTTCTTCCTGAGAAACGATGGATACAACTCCGAGGCTCGCCACCGCTGCCTTCGCTCGTTACCATGACTACAGCCTCGGCGCTAAGCTTTATTGAGGAGGGTTCAAATGAAGGGGGGAGGGGGGTTGATGTGTGGCGTCATACTGAGAAAGAACCAAATACAAAAGAAAACCAAAGAGAAAGACCCTAATCTATTTTTCTACATCTTTAAGTTGATGCAATGCACAACATATGCAAGTAGGAATATATACTATACGTCTCTTTCTAATCATAACAAATAGGAAACACATGTGTATTATACAATTATAATATATTATGATAGGCTTTGTTTTATGTCAGAATATTGTTTAGCAATCTGGATATAATGTCTTTGCTAATTAAATAATTATATCAGTTTTAAGATGATGCTTAGTTTCATTTAGGTAACATTTAGGAAAATTGTGCGGTTTTCATTTTTTTCTTAAAAGAGATTTTGGGGTGCTAATTTCACTGTCACAAATTAAAATTGAAGAGAATAAGCTACAAACATTGGTATTGTTGGTGACAATCTTAAGAGATATCTCCACCTTCAAAAAACACAACATATTATCAATGTCTTTGGGGAGTTTCTGAGTTTTTATCTTTATTACCCTTTTTAATATTATTACATGTTTTATTAGAGTAGTATATTTGAATGTATTGGTGCTTTTCTTGTTGGCAAGTCTCCGGTGAAAAGCTGATTCCTACAATTAAAATGAACACCTGCTTGATTAAGAAAGATTAATACATTTATTTGAACAACTTTCAACATTTTGTGTAAATAAGCTTTCAGTATAATAAATACAAACAGTGGTTTTCAACGCTAACATCCCTTATTCTACACACAGTATGAGCTAACAAAGCATGCTACTGTACATACCCGCCCTCCCCTCCTATGTAATTACATACAGTTACATCACTGTTATCTGCATGTTTACTTTAACTACCCTCCACAGAAAGCTTCTTACTCTAACTCCAACATGCCCATGCAGGGGAGGAGCAGAGAGGGACCCATGCAACAGGGAAAAGGGAGAGGCTAAGAAAAGGGCCAGAAAAGATATCGACACATACACCTACCCTGTAGTAGTCCGTACTGTAGACATCTCTGGACATGCCAAAGTCTCCAATCTTTACCAGCAGGTTCTCTCCCACCAAACAATTCCTGATGGATAACAAACACATAATAAACAGTTTAAATAATGATCTTTTATATTACTTAGGTCACACTGCAGGGTTTTAAACTTCTACAATATATAAGTAGATCCGACACAAGTTAAAAAGTAATTATCAAAGTCAATAATGTTCAATAGTAACAGTATATCTTTGATTTGAAGAGTTTTACATGTGTTTGTCATGGTATGGTTTCATTACATAAGCCTTATTCAATCATTCTCTGAAAGTGGAAATACAAAGATGCAAGGATGATTGCATCTTTAATATCCTTTACTATCGATCAATCCTGCCTACTAGCTGGTTGGCCTTACTGGATTATGCATTTATATTAATGTATATGACATTTATGTCCAAAAGACTACATTTGTCAAAGTATTTCTATATCATTACATTTGCAAACATTTTCAAAATGTGTTTTTTAACTTTCTCAACATTGAGTATTCCTTTAAATGTTATGTTAAGTGTCTAAATACATTACCATGTACAGTATACAGGCCCATTCATTAAGTCAATTTGAATAATCACAGTATGTATAGCAAGTGTAGAAACAGTGTGATAAACCTGGTGGCCAAGTCACGGTGCACAAAGTGTTGTGATGCCAGGTAGACCATGCCGGATGCGATCTGCTGTGCGATGTGTAACATCTGGGACTGCGTCAGCTCCACAGGTCTGGTGTTCTGGCCCTCGGACATCAGAACTGCATCCGGACCGTGAGCCCTGCAAAGGTGACATTTTTTCAAGTTAGCTTTGTTATTGTTTGTTGGAGTCATTTTGGTTTTCTGCGCAGTTTTGTACATAAAATACTACATCAACCCTTCTATGAGAGTGTTCAGAAAATGAAGCAGATTTTCTTTGAACTAGTAAAAGAAACGTCTACTTTACAATCTTTGTCTATTGATGCCTCTGTTTTCATGACAGCAGTTCAGTCTGGAACATTATTGTCATAGATTTAACTATGTACTCCAATAAAGACAATTATATTTCGCAGATGGCTCCACTCTTGAGATATGTCCCTGGATTAGTTTGCAGCACACTAAGCCGAAAAAGGGAGTGCAATGCAGAGAACCCCCCTTTAGTATACAAGAGTGGGTCTACAGCAAGACACTGAATACAATTACTAGAGTCAAGAGAAGGAGGCGTGTGGCGCAGTGGATAGAGCGTGGTGTTCGGACCAGGGGAGCACAGGTTCAAACCCCACTGCAGTCAGCATGTCGTTGTGTCCCTGGACGAGACACTTCACCCCAAATTGCTCCTGTGGGTATTGCCCACAGTATTGAGTATGTGAGTCGCTTTGGATAAAAGCATCTAACAAGTAACATGTAAAAAAAGAGAAAAGAGAAGAGAGAAATACTGCACCCTATGAACTTCTAGGCACCAAAACAGTGTTACTTATAAACTTAATTAGTAAGTGACAGTGTGCAGGACTTCTCTATTTTGACTTTGGTCAATACTCATTTGCACCTGCCTACAAGACAGCGTAAAGATTGAGTGCACATCCACCTTTACCATTATGTTTTAGTCTCTAAACTAAATAGGCGGTGGAGTCAAAGCTTGCAGTGACGAGGTTGGTGTGACACTGATAATAAACAATGATCAGCTTCTAGTACAGCCGACTATGACCTCCTGACCTACATGAACTAATGCTAATTGCTGATATCTAGATGACTGATGTAATGAAGAAAGGAGCCATACCTGAGGAACTTGTTGAGGTCACCATGTTTCATGTACTCAAACACCATGATGAGGGGGTCGCTCTCCACGCAGACTCCGTAGAAAGTGACAATGTGTTCATGCTGAAGGTTTGTCAGTAACTCAGCCTCACGGTGGAAATCCTTCCTGGCATTTTCACTGGCCTCTTTAAGTGTCTGTGGACACACAGAAGTGACATTCAATACACGGACAAATGTAAAACTCACATGTTATGCCACTTAAACCATTGCCAATTAGTCATTTTCACAGTGCACCCAACCTGCTCCAATTTATGTAGCTGATCTCCATTAGGAAATAAAGAAATGACTCTCTTGCCTTGTAAAAGTGAGTTACAGCAAATCAGGCACACACTGTGAAATTACTGGCACCAAGCAAGGACTGATACAAAGGCAGCGCACAAACTAAATGTATATGTATGCAAGCCATTACATAGCACAACACTGTTTACATTAATTGTATTCCCTGGTTCCCTTTCAAACGAATCTCTTTCTCCCTTCCATGAATCAGGAAATCTGTCAGGGAGCAAGCATCTGTGACAGAGACAGAAAACGAGTGTGTGTGAAAGAGAGTTGCAGGAAATGAAAGTGATACGGGGTCTGTATTCATTTCATATCAAAAGAAGAAAAATATAGAAAATGTCTATTGTCCTACATGAATAATTGATTGTCTTCCTACAGTATATGACATGGATATACGTTCACCTTCCACCTTCTGTGTGTGCATTTGTGTTTTTGTGTGTTTATCTGTGTACATGTGTGTGTTTGTCTGCGTACTAACATCACAGAGTAGCTTCGATTACAAATATATGTTTAAAGGACGAAGAGCAGTCACTAAGAAAGCTCTAGAAGAAGGAAACGACCCACGACCTTTGAGCAGAAATGCTGAGATACCAGAAAATGATCGTGTATCATGGTGAAACAAAGGCTTGGTCCTCTACATTACAGGCTGTAATGTAATATTACATGATGATTATATGGAGGATTAGTACAGTATGGATAGCCTACTGTATGGAAGCATATGCTCCAATCTCAGTTTGAAAGGTGATATTAGACATGTTTGGGAAGCTGGTTGTTTTCTCCCATTACTTCTCACATGAACGCCTGTCTAAGTTAGACCTTTCTGTTTATGTGACTATTAATTGTTTGCTTTCTTAAAAAGCAAATAGTTGATTAAAAATGTATGTTTGTCAGGTTTTAAGATAATCCTTTGATTAGCATTTTATATGTATTATTTAAAGAGATATATACTGTATGTAAACAAGTAATTAAGAAAGCTCTTTGTACAGAAGATGTCAACTTATCAATTGGAATCTTCTTGATCAATTCAAAGAATTGAAAAAGCTTAAAAGACAAAGCCAGGGTATTTTAACTAATGCCTTTACAAATGTTAACCCTCTAAAAGAAGTAAATTACTTCAGTTGATCTAAAATGCTGTACATGATCCACATCTGACATATAGTCTAAGCAACTCATACTGCACATGCATAATATATTTTTGTTTCCTGGCACAAAGAAATGTTTGAAAAAAGGAAAAATGTCTTTCCTGGCAATCACAGGTTATCAATCAGCTAACTTAACTGTTAAGTGTATCAAATGACCACCATAACAACAATTTATCAAACAATATTCAAGTTTATTTCAGAGACTTTCTTTGAGCCAGAAAACATCTAACTGTGAACTATCACGCTCTGAGTCTCTGAGCTCCATGCTGCGTATATTCCCAGGCTTAAAGCCATAATACTGCACTGTTAGTCATCCAGTGTGCGCACACTCAGGTCCCCCGGACAAATAAGAAGCAATCAACAACCACGAGCCCGGGAATGTAGTACATGTGAAGGCAACATTATTGACAGTGTTAGGTGCTTATGATTGATGGCATGCAAGCGTGTATAGGTGCGTGAATATATCTACACTGAACAAAAATATAAATGCAACACTTTTGTTTTTGCTCCCATTTTTCATGAGATGAACTCAAAGATCTAAAACATTTTCTATATACACAAAATAACCATTTATCTCAAATATTGTTCACAAATCTGAAAAAATCTGTGATAGTGAGCACTTCTCCTTTGCCGAGATAATCTGAAACGTGCAGTTTTGCTTAATTGGGGGGGGTCTGGGGGGGTCCGAAAACCAGTCAGTATCTGGTGTGACCACCATTTGCCTCATGCAGTGCAACACATCTCCTTCGCATAGAGTTGATCAGGTTGTTGATTGTGGCCTGTGGAATGTTGGTCCACTCCTCTTCAATGGCTGTGCGAAGTTGCTGGATATTAGCAGGAACTGGAACACGCTGTCGTATACGCCGATCCAGAGCATCCCAAACATGCTCAATGGGTGACATGTCCGGTGAGTATGCTGGCCATGCAAGAACTGGGATGTTTTCAGCCTCCAGGAATTGTGTACAGATCCTTGCAACATGGGGACGTGCATTATCATGCTGCAACATGAGGTGATGGTCGTGGATGAATGGCACAACAATGGGCCTCAGGATCTTGTCACGGCATCTCTGTGCATTCACAATGCCATCAATAAAATGCACCTGTTTTCGTCGTCCATAACATACGCCTGCCCATACCATAACCCCACCACCACCATGGGCCACTCGATTCACAACATTGACATCAGAAAACCGCTCACCCACACGACGCCACACACGCTGTCTGCCATCTGCCCTGAACAGTGAAAACCGGGATTCATCCGTGAAGAGAACACCTCTCCAACGTGCCAGACGCCATCGAATGTGAGCATTTGCCCACTCAAGTCGGTGACGACGACGAACCGGAGTCAGGTCGAGACCCCGATGAGGACGACGAGCATGCAGATGAGCTTACCTGAGACGGTTTCTGACAGTTTGTGCAGAAATTCTTTGGTTATGCAAACCGATTGTTGCAGCAGCTGTCCGAGTGGCTGGTCTCAGACGATCTTGGAGGTGAACATGCTGGATGTGGAGGTCCTGGGCTGGTGTGGTTACACGTGGTCTGCGGTTGTGAGGCCGATTGGATGTACTGCCAAATTCTCTGAAACGCCTTTGGAGACGGCTTATGGTAGAGAAATGAACATTCAATTCACAGGCAACAGCTCTGGTGGACATTCCTGCTGTCAGCATGCCAATTGTACGCTCCCTCAAAACTTGCGACATCTGTGGCATTGTGCTGTGTGATAAAACTGAACATTTTAGAGTGGCTTTTTATTGTGGCCAGCCTAAGGCACACCTGTGCAATAATCATGCTGTCTAATCAGCATCTTGATATGCCACACCTGTGAGGTGGGATGGATTATCTCGGCAAAGAAGAAGTGCTCACTATCACAGATTTTTTCAGATTTGTGAACAATATTTGAGAGAAATGGTTATTTTGTGTATATAGAAAATGTTTTAGATCTTTGAGTTCATCTCATGAAAAATGGGAGCAAAAACAAAAGTGTTGCATTTATATTTTTGTTCAGTGTATGCATCTGCACGTGTTAGTGTGCCTGTGATCGATGGCACATCAGCGAATGAAATAGTTACAGTGAAACTGGCTTCTGTATTATAGCTGACAAGCTGATTGATAGCCGACTCTAAAACCAGGACCATTAGGGTCTATTTGTGATTGCAGGTTATTTAATGTGGTGTACATGTTTCTGTGATATTATGCATGAAAGAGTGCATCATAAGTACCGTATGTACATGTTAACAATGTTGTTATGAGAGGAGTGAGAATATTCACAGGGAACATACACTCTAAACTTAAAAATGGCTGTTCTTGCTATAATGTTGAATAGCCAGACATGCTATCTCTATGCCTACGGTGCAGAAACAGGCAGTTAGGATGAACAAATTCACTGACAAACCTTTATGTACATCATGTAACAACAACTGCACTAACTATTACAATTAAATGGAATCTAAATGATATTAATTTAATTAATTGATTGAAGAATATGTTGCCAAAATGAAGGTATCAGAGTGAAACACCACAATGATTGGTTTTAACTGTCCAAGGTTTGAGAAAATCTGCCTCTGAGATTTTTTGTTTCCAATCCTCTACAATGGAGATGAGAGTCATTTTGTGAGTGTCATTTAGGTTTTTGTTGCATATTTTGTTGCACTTAAAAAATAACTCATTTTGATCAGTTGTCAATTTAATTGCCTTACTTTCCAAAGAAATATCCCCTTTTAGGTTATTTAGTAATTTAGAGGAATTTGCATTGGCAAGAAGTAGTCAATGCTAATGCCATCATTTATTCGAAAATCTGTTTCCACCAGCTTTCATCACATCTTTTCTTTGTTGATGCAGCAACAATGAGGAAGAGGAGGAGAAAGAAAAAACAAACAGAAAAATGGTGAGTCATACCAGTTGACAAAAAGACGAGGACAAGAAGAGCAGGAAGAGTGTGCTATTAGCAGGTGGCACTAGCTAATTGAAAAGCTAAATCCGATGAATTGAGGGAGTTGAATCAATAAAGTGACTCTAATGACTAAATGATTCATTTCCATGCAATTAAACCTATGGCAGTTTGAGAAATGCGCTTTATCTTTAATGTACGTTGAATGCTGATTATGTAATGTGTTACCAGATTTGACTTGCACTACAGCAACACATAGCATCTTGTTCAACAACAGGAGCCATGCTTCCTGGGACTTTCAGGTGCATATTTTACAGGGTGCTCAGACTGAGCTAAGCTAAGCTGGCAGCAAACATCAGCGGGCCAGCAGGCAGCTTACAGAAAAGAAGCTGGAGGATTTGAGAAGAGGATAAAGGACTGCAGAGGAGAGAGAAAAGTACTACAGGTGGGAGTTAGAGGTGGGGAATGTAAGACATGAGGAAGTGGGGACAGAGGGAGATGGAAGAGGGTCTTGCACAAGTCATGTATTGTTAATGAGAGGATCTGCACCAATCAGATCCTGTTTCACCGCAGAGCATCCTTGATGGAGAGATGCATGGACGGATAGATGTGATGGCAGGATGCACTTTGGGAAACTATTCAATTTGATCCCGGAAGTCCGCGGTTTGAGTGTAACTCCACCTTTTGCTTAAAAAAAACTTCTGAAAGGAATGACTTGCTAACAATAACGGAGAAAATGAAGGAGTCTTAAGAATGCATTTCAGTTACATAAGATATATATATATATATATATATTTAAAATATATATCAGATCACCTTACAAAATA